CTTGGATTAAATAATAGTAATACTACTTAATAATTACTATTAATAGTATTACTATTATTCAATCAAAATACCTGTTAACCACACTTAGCCATGTCCGATTCCTCTTCTCACTATGCGAACTGCGCTGATCGCGACTGCAGTCGCATTTACGCACCTATGGTCCTAGGCTACGCGGCCCTGTATTATGGTTAATAAGGTAAACTCTAAGGGCCATGATCATCAGGCGCGGTTCCATAGGAAAAGAGAAGTCATGGGAAGGCCAGAGTGGTAGGAAGAGTTTATTCTGTGCAGAAGGAATGGACAATAAGTGGGAGGAGATTTGACCGTCGGACCGCCCGTGGATCGGCTAGGGCGGCTTTCTCCGAAGTGATGTCTGGTGGTAGTCATCCGAGCGGCCACAGAAAGCTGTCTTTGTCTTAGTCAGCTTTGGAAATTATTATTCAGGAAACGGCAGGTGTTATTCGGGCTGCGCGCGCATAAAAGATGCCGAGCGCGTGCGAGAGGCACAAGCAGGTGCATGGGAGGTCAGTAGTGGGATTGGAATTTGCCTGCCCAGGCAGGTGTAGACTTTTGGCATTCATCAGGTGGATAGTTTACAATTGCCAAAGGTAAACATGCTGCTAGTTGCAAGTCAGTCAGTAAAGGACCAGTTGTCGTCCGATATTGGTGTACATATGAGAGAATGATCCCTGACCAACAAATCGGCCTCCAAGTAATCAATACAATTTAGAAGAACGTGAAGAAGTTCCTGCTGATTAGTTTGAAACTCACAAATCTGTTGTCTGTGTAAGGCAGTCAAACTATTGTTGAACGATGGGAGGAAAGGAAGTTAGTTATGTCTACTTAAGCTGCACGGTCAGGATGGCTGGAAACGATGATCTCAGCGACGGGAATTTAATTGCCAACAGAATTTAATTGACAACAGACAGGTTGGCGGGAAGAGCCTACACGCCCCGCCCTAGAAACAAAGCTGGAATACGAAAACGTCTCAGGTAGGACAGATAGACTTGCCCTAAATTCATAATTGTGAAAATATTTGCCTGCGTATAGTTAGTGACTAGATCGCGTCGAAGTAAACTCCACCAGAATCTCACGATTGCGGTTCTCGACGTCTGGAAACAGCCAATCACAGTTGCCGCAAACCTGCAGAATATCAAGGCTGCACGCGTGTATTG